GCTGCAAGTTCTGAAACTCCATCCTAATGAAGAACCAGTTGAAGTATCTCATACTGCTACTAATACCAACTCCCCAAGTTCTATGTCTCAAACTCTTCATTTTACAGGAACAGAAACCATTACTCCAGATTTGGCGACATCTGAAAGTCCATCAATTGATCAGCATGAACCCCTAGAAAGCTCATCAACTCATCAACGTGAACCACCGGCTTCAACTAATATTCACAACATGGTCACACGATCAAAAAATAACATTGAGTGTCCCAGAAAATTTCTTGATGGATCAATTCGTTATCCACTTCCGCATGCTCTTATTGCTGCAGCTAAATCCATTCAAATTGAACCAACTTGTTACACGGAGGCATCTAAACATAGTGAATGGCGGACTGCTATGGATGCTGAATTTGATGCTCTTTTGCGGAATGGCACCTGGAATTTAGTTCCACCAAAATCAAACACCAATGTAATTGGTTTTAAGTGGGTGTATCGTATCAAAAGACGAGCTGATGGCACAATTGAACGCTATAAAGCACGGCTGGTAGCTAAAGGATTCCACCAACAACAAGGAATTGACTTCATGGAAACTTATAGTCCAGTTATTAAACCTGCAACAGTTCGAATGGTGCTCACTATTGCTGTATTCTATGGCTGCCGATGCATCAAATCGATGTGCAAAATGCTTTTCTTCATGGAAATTTACAGGAGGACATTTATATGCTTCAACCACCCGGATACCAACATCCTCAATTTCCAAACCATGTTTGCCATCTCCGTCGATCCTTATATGGTCTTCGACAAGCACCGAGAGCCTGGTTTTCTCGTTTAACGGATAAGTTAAATAGCTATGGTTTTTTTCCCAGCAAGTCTGATGTCTCTTTATTCATCTATCGAAAGGAATCTGTTACTATTTTTCTCTTGATTTACGTTGATGATATCATCATCACGGGATCATCTACTGCTGCAATCAAAGATATTATTCAAAACTTCCATGAGGATTTCGGTATCAAAGATCTTGGCCAGTTAAATTTTTTTCTAGGAGTAGAAGTTTTGCATTGTAATAATGGTCTTTATCTCTCCGTTTCCGCGATACAATGTCTGTAGCTAATGCGATCTGGTATGGACAAGGCCAAACCATGCACAACTCCTATGGCAACGTCAATAAAGCTCTCCAAGCATGATAGTCCTGAGTGTACCGATCCTCACTTGTTCAGAAGCATTGTCGGAAGTCTTCACTATCTCTCCTTTACTCGTCCGGATATAGCATTTGCAGTCCATCGTGTTAGCAAATTTATGCATGATCCAAAAGACACTCATTGGCAAGCTGTCAAGCGCATATTGCGCTACTTAAAAAGCACAATTTCCTTCGGTTTATTTTTAGCGAAGTCATCAACCTTAAACTTTCAAGCATTTGCGGATAGTGATTGGGCAGGCGACACTGATGATCGTCGCTCAGTTGGTGCCTACTGCATTTATCTCGGATCAAGTTTAATATCATGGAGTTGTAAACAGCAAGCCACTGTTGCTCGTAGTAGCACAGAAGCAGAGTACAAAGCCTTATCTAATGCAGCAGCCGAATTATTATGGCTACAAAAATTGGCATCCGAACTTGGTCTTCAAAGTCCCCAGCAACCTACAATTTGGTGTGATAATATAGGCGCAACATATCTTTCTACAAATCCCATTTTCCATGCTCGAACTAAGCACATTGAAATTGACTTCCACTTTGTGCGTGATCTTGTCAAAAATGGAAAACTACAAGTCAAGTTTCTCTCAACTAAAGATCAGATTGCAGATTTGCTTACCAAACCGCTAGCCACAAACCCCAAATTAACATAAGCCAGGTTAGACAATGTCTGTGAAATTCCCTTGAGATTGAGGGGGCGTGTCGAGGATCATTCTCAAGATTCACCAAATCAGCATAAGGATTATTCTGAGGATTCACAAAATCAGCATAAGGAATAAATGTTGCAAACAATCAGGAAAAGCCGTGATTCCTGGAGCCTACCGTTTCATTGTTTTATATGTTTTTGAATTTGAACTTTGTAACTGACAAACACATTTCATGGCATAAGTTGTGCATCTGTATGTCCTTATATACTATGTAAATGATACGATTCTAATTGAATAAAGACAAATACTTCCACAATACTTTCCTCTCTTATTTTCTATAATCCCCAACACAGATCAATTGTAATGAAAAGGTACAAACTCAAACTGGGTTGCATTCCACAATCTCATGTCAATATGGATCAATTGTTTAAGAAAGCGAGTGAGCTTCCACCTTGATGTTTGTGAGGCAAGGCGTACTCTTGACAACTTGAGGCTTATGCGTCTTGGACATTAGGTGTACACCTTGCAGCATCCACCACAAGAAATACGAGGTTTTCACCTTAATTTGAATGGGTTTGGGGTTGACTAATAAACTTTCAAATTCAAGTCGATTTATTTACCAGCGTTGTTCAGGTACATTTTTAGGAGCCTAGACTTTAAAAACTGGGCTGAAGTGAAAAGAGTCTGTTTTGAGATTTCATTGCTGGGCTTCTATATTTGCTTCTGGTTTTGGGGTGTTTACACCATGGTAGACTCTCTAAACAAATTGACCATATAACCACATAACCATGGGAGAGGACAGTCCCAGATTAGCTCGCAACTAATCAAACAAGAACAGCTCTCACCCGATCTTCTTCAGATATAGTTCTCTCCGCTTCTACCAAGAGAAGCACTATTTTCCAACAAATAAATTGTGAATACATAGAATTCAACATAGGGGTAAAGAAGAGTGTATGAACCCTTGGCTCTGATACAACTTGATATAAACCAACCCCGATATCAAGAACGTTTTAATATCACTTGTTGAGAAATCGACCAAATAATTAAAGACGACAAAAAGGAATATATGAAATTTAATGGATCGCACAACAATCAAAAAAATTATGGAATAGGAGAATTTATTATACCAAGAAAAAATATATGAAATTTAATGGATCGCACATCAATCAAAAAAATTATGGAATAGGAGAATTTATTATACCAAGAAACAACCATTTGTCTTACAAGATTTTGATCCTCTTAATCTAATCTAAACAATTCCCTCTTGTTTCTAATGTATACAACAATGATCTAATTGTTATAATCTCTTTTGAGTCTTGCTTTTTCTCCCCTTGTTAAGTGCCTATATCTTATGAAGTATTTATAGAAGCCAAATATCGAAATTGTGGGGTCCAACGTGAAGAAGTCCTAAAATCCAGATGAAACGAGAAAACTGCGGAAAAACACGCTACCAGGCGCCATGACGCCCACTCAGGCCCCTCGGCGAGGGATCAACCGTCGTAGCACCCTAGCCCGACGCTGCAGCGCCGAGTCCACTGTTTGGACCAGGGGTGTCGGCACACCTTGCAGCGCAGGGCTTGCTGATTTTTTTTTCTATTTTTCGTTCCAAAGTATTTTACTTCATCTCCAAGTCATTAATTCAATCAAAATTCCAAAGCAACATGAAATTTGATTCCTAATCAAACCGGATTTCTAAACCAAGATTAAACAAACTTCCTTCATGCAACGAACTTCTAAATCACATAGAATTTTTGTCACAAAACCTAACATTGTACATATCTATCCATTGATAAAAAAATGCACGCACTTGAGATGGCGGGTTAGATTCAAATAAATATAGATATTCCCTTCTAATCTCATTATTATTAGAAAATGATTTGAACAATATGAGTTGATATGAAAAAATATGGTGCTTTTAAAGAGGCATCTTCATTGTCTGCACTGATGGCCGCGATTGAATCTGGATCTAATTTCCCGTTTCCCTACCCATATCCCATTGTCTATTCTCTCAAATCAATTTTTGACAACATCGCCATATAAATAAAGTTTCAAATTTTAATGGGAAATAATTCAGCCTTAAGAAATCATAAAAAAAAGGTTACATTCCACTAAGATTTTGACATTAAAAAATGGGGTACTTACAAAAATACCCTTAAAATTAGGGGTGTTTTGAAAAATCATGTGAAAAGTTTTTAGGAAGTAAAAAATACTATGTAAAATGAAAAAAGTGACACAATGTCACTTTTCTATAAAAATTGTCACTT